ACTGGCAGCCACCTTGTAACCAGAGACAATATTTTGAGCAAAGGAACGGCAAACGGATGACGAAATTGAGGAAACTCGAACTTATTGCACTTACTGTGCTCCAAAAAGTGAGCGAGTCCCTGGGCCTCCCTCGGGTCGGCAAAACTACCCACGTTGATGCATAGAGCGGCGGCAGACTGGAAGTAAAGAAAGACTCAACCATCAAATAATAACAATAAAAGAGAAAGGCAAATTTACCACGATCAAACGTAAGAAAATGTTGAAAGACCAATTGCAAGATTTAGAAAGAAGCAATAAGTAAAAATCCGAACTGACGTTGAGGATGCAAGGGATTATTTTTTTATCATAAATACTGTCGACTCCTGTCTTCTCACGCGCACGGAAACATTCGCGTAGGCATTCGGTGGTTACCGTATGGTTAAGGGGATCCACAAATAAGTAGTGATTATTAAGCATTTTGCCTGACCACAACTGCGCTAAAGACTAAACTGCAGGCGACGACGATTGCGATCTGACACTAACTAGACTACGGTCCTTTTACCTGCACTATAAAGATGTTCCAGAAGCAACTATAAAACCCAAGAGGCAAGTGAAAAAAATGAGAGACGCAGACAAGTCTAACGAAGGTATTTATCAGATGCCGGTGAATTTGTCGAAGAAATGGAGACCTGTTACGGGAGAAGGATAGGGCGTATTTTGTCAAATATTCTTTGTCTCCATGCCAGGTCAGCCACCGTACCAAAGACTATAACTATCTGTCGGGATCTAGTATAGGGATCGGGTATTATATCCAAGGGAAAAGAAACTGGGATTAACGCGCATAAATAACGTCTCTCTATCAACTGTATTGCCGTCATTGTTACTCTTGATGGACAAAGTACCAATGTTAAGTGCATGAAAATAAGCAACAAGTCAAGTAAGGGGACGAGTGAGTACTTGTTTTAACAACTTACTTTTGTATGCGACAAGATGTAGCTACCCTGATAGCAATGCCTTGGAGTCTTTGGTCCCTGTGCTGCTTGGATGCAGCGCCGGGCGGTATTCCGTGCAGTGATTAGGAGAGATTATAGCCGG